CATGGACTCGACGAGTCCCCCCTATGGACTCGACGAGTCCGATCGCAGACAGCAAATTTTCGATTCTGTTTTCAACTTTTAAGAACAAATAAGAACAAACAAGCCTAGGCTCTGATACCACTGATGGGTTTTGAGCATTCTAACACTTCCTAAGTGTACATGCAACCCTAATAACCTTGGATCTATGTTTGTCTAATTTGTCATGCAAAGTTGAATTCCAAGGTTATATTCCTATCTAGCATACATGGGGAACAATTTTAACATAAAGTATAGATAGAATAACTTACCTTGTTGTTGCTTGTGTTCCTTGAAACCTTGTGAGCCTAGCACCTCAAGTGGTGATGCCTCAAATGCTTCACACAACACCAAATGCTCTTGGAAGAACTTATGAGAGAATACACACTCTTCAAAATCGGCCAAGCCCCTTATTACTTAGTGTAACCGATTTGGGAGGAGATCATATTCCTTATATAGTGTTGACACATCTAGGGTTAAACCCTAATGTGTCATGACTCTTCATTTCCATGACCCATGGGTTTGTAACTCCCATGGAGCATCCATGGAGCATCCTATGGGTGGAACCCAACTTGATGATCCATGGAGCCTTTTAGCCCACTATACAAGATATGGATGATTTACTTAATCAACCCATATATTTAATTAGTTATCTTTTGATCACTTAATTAATTCTAAATTAATTCTTGATCAAACTAATCAAATAATATTATTAATATATTAGAACTTATAATATATTAATAATCTCCAAGCGTTATTTCTCTCATTTAGTTTATCCAATTGCATGGTGCCATGCAACCCAAATGGACCATGCCGGGTCGGGTCAAGTACATACCAGAAATAGTTATGGACTTAGACACCTTATCCAACAATATCTAGGTTTCAAGACCATATGATATTATCGTCTTGCGATCACCCTTTATATCACATTCCATAAGGTGATTCCAGCAAGCGCGGGTTTGTTCCAATGCTCAAAACTAGTTCATAAGCACTCATGAACGTTGCAGCAATCTTTTGTTGTGTCTAATACCATTTAGACACTCTACACACCAATTCATGACAATCTTCATTCACACCTACTTCCAACATATGAATGATTGTGGACATTTTGAATAATTCGATTATTCTTAATAAACTCAATTATTCTAGAAGTCAAAACATGCAAAGTGAAACAATAGCTAAACAATTAACATAAGACAGTAACATTACTCATAAATAATACTCCTTTATTTAATCATCAAATGTTAATTACATTTATCTATTACACGTTTCTAATAGTATCTAATCCAAACTAATATCATCCTTCAGCCCAATACTCCTAGCATGCAGCAAGTGTGTTGGGTCAAAAATATGGTTTATACTTTGCTTTTCTAGGAAAATATACTTTTATGTAATTTTGTATGTGTTTACGGCTGCACAACCTGTGTACAGCCATACACAGGGTGTGCGGCTGTACACATGTGTATGGCTGGAGGTCCATATAAATAGAGTGTGCATGTGGGAGTGTACGATTAGAGATGGTAGGAGAGGAGAAGAGAGCATCTTGTAGAGAGAGAAACTAGAGAGAAGAAGTGTGTGTGAGAGAGACTCTATTGTAAGGAGCATCATTCATATTGAATACATCATAGATTCATCTTCTTCTTCTTCTCCTTCTCTTCTATTTGATCTGACATCATCCAATTGATTGGGATTCCGCACCATCAATTGGATCTTATTGATACACAAGCAATTTTGGGGACTTACAATTGGTATTAGAGCTTGGTTGTATCAATCATTTTTGTCAGATCTGGGGCTTATTTGATCTTATTTTGAAAAGAGAATAGTGTTTTTGGATAGATCTCGCAAAAATAAGGGGGGTTACTTCTTTGCATTTTTCATAAAAACGAGTTTTTAATCGAGTTTTAGAGCAAAAAAGGGTGAAAACGTCATTTTTTCGCGAATCTGTTGAAGGTGTGCGGCCCGGTTGAAGGTGTGCGGCCGGCTTAGTGTGCGGCTCGAAGTATACGGCTCGGTGTGTACAGCCCCGGTGTGCGGCTCGAAGTATACGACTCGGTGTGTGCGGCCCCGGTGTGCGGCCGGCTTAGTGTGCGGCTCGGGAGTGTGCGGTCGGCTCGGACGTGTGCGGCCGTCTCAGTGCGTGCGGCTCAGTAGCTTCTCGTGTGCTGAATGTGTGCGGCTCAGAATTTGTTGAAGGTGTGCGGCCTGGTTGAAGGTGTGCGGCCGGCTTAGTGTGAGGCTCGAAGTATACGGCTCGGTGTGTACAGCCCCGGTGTGCGGCTCGAAGTATACGACTCGGTGTGTGCGGCCCCGGTGTGCGGCCGGCTTAGTGTGCGGCTCGGGAGTGTGCGGTCGGCTCGGACGTGTGCGGCCGTCTCAGTGCGTGCGGCTCAGCAGCTTCTCGTGTGCTGAATGTGTGCGGCTCAGAATTTGTTGAAGGTGTGCGGCCTGGTTGAAGGTGTGCGGCCGGCTTAGTGTGCGGCTCGAAGTATACGGCTCGGTGTGTGCGGCCCCGGTGTGCGGCCGTCTCGGGTGTGTGCGGCTCGGGAGTGTGCGGTCGGCTCGGACGTGTGCGGCCGTCTCAGTGCGTGCGGCTCAGCAGTTTCTCGTGTGCTGAAGGTGTGCGGCTCAGAATCTGTTGAAGGTGTGCGGCCCGGTTGAAGGTGTGCGGCCGGCTTAGTGTGCGGCTCGAAGTATACGGCTCGGTGTGTGCGGTCCCGGTGTGCGGCCGTCTCGGGTGTGTGCGGCCGGCTTAGTGTGCGGCTCGGGAGTGTACGGTCGGCTCGGACGTGTGCGGCCGTCTCAGTGCGTGCGGCTCAGCAGCTTCTCGTGTGCGGCCAGCGCCTTTATAAAAAAATTCAAAGCGGAATTGAGGTTGCAGGGGATCGAACCTTGGACCTCCAAGTCATTGCCCAAGCGCCTAACTATCTCGGCTAGCCAAGCCCTTGTGAATTCACTTCGAAATTTTCCACTTAACCACTCACTACCGCTTCCAACTTTCGCATTTTTTTCATTTTCAGCCAAAAATTAATTTTCCTTTAATTTTAAATTCCTTTTTCAACCAAAAAAAAATTAGTTTTTAATTTTTGACTTTTGACTTTGACTTTTAAAAGTTGATCTTTGACTTTAAATTTTGACTTTCTCGGTTTTTAAGTCAAAGGCCAATTAAAAAAAAATATAACAAAAATTAAAAAATAATAAATAAATAAATAAAAAATGAGTTCAACATCAATTCCGGTAAATGAAGTTTCATGTACTCTATCTTGTAAAGCTACGATTAAATTTCTTCGCGAACAAATTGATTTATTAAAAAGAGAAAATGAGGACCTCAAATACGAAGGCTGTACTCTTAGGAAAGGTCAGAAACTGTTAAAAGCTCAATTAGAGGCCAAGACTAAGGACTTTAGGAAATTACAAGAAGATTACAACAACAAGTGTGAAAATTATGATCACATTAAGCGCAAACTTGCTGCTGTAACTGAAGAACTTGATGTTTTGAAAATAAAGTGTGGAAAAACAGATGTTAGTTTCAAAAATTATACTACATCAAGTAAGACAGTCGAGTCCTTAGTAGAAAATCAATTGAGTTTTAAAGATAATCAAACCAAGGGTCTAGGGTATCACAGTGTGCCCCCTCCTTTTAATCACAACTATAACCCACCCTTGAGACCAATGAGGAAGAAATGCCTGCTCAGTATGGCAAAGCCCCTGCTCTAGATTCAGTTAAGACTGAACAATTAGGGCCAACTGAGTGTGTTGAGCTGAACGATACTAATGCTTCTACTTTATGTGCAGGTAAAGTAGCAGAGGATGAGAACAAGGAGAACACCATTGAACAAACCAACATCTCCTTGAACTCTGAATCTGTTGTTGCGAACTCAATTGCTTCTGATCAACATGTTGTTGGTAAATACAGACCACCATTTCAAGCTAAAAAGAGTGCCTGTTGCAACTGTGCGTGTGGGAAAAGCAAGAGACAAGGCAAAGATACGCCACCAGGGGCAGGAAGAAACAACTCCACAGTGAAGAAAAGGACTTGTTTTCACTGTGGAACACCTGGACACATTGCCAGAAATTGTCCAAATCGCACATACGTTCCTTACTACGCACAAGGCTGGCAGAACGCGCCAAGAGGGAGATACTTCAAAAGAAACCCCTCAAGGTTACGTTCAGACCATGACGACTGGAACGCGCAGAAAGCCAAAAATCAATCCCACAAGGTCAAGAAGGGAAAGTCGGCCAAGAAGCCAAATCCAAGAGATGCTCCCGTGAAGCCAAAATCAAAGTCATCTCAACGGCCAGCTTCAAGATCAAAAGCAAGTACTGAGCCACCCATTAGATCGAAAAAGAAATGCACTACTAGAAAAACAGCCTTTTACGACGCTCATTGCGCGTCGTAAAAGGCTCAGACTACGCGCAAATGCGCGTCAAGGAAGGCCCTATCATAAAGAGAGACGACGCGCATTTACGACGCTCATTTACGACGCGCAATTACGAAACGCGTTTACGACACGCAATGCGTATCAAGGAAGGCCCTGTCATAAAGGAAGACGACACACATTCTCATTTCGTAACCTTACGACGCGCGTGTTAATGACACGCAATGCGTATCAAGAAAGCCCCTGTCAAGAAAGGCCATGTCATAAATGAAGATGACACACATTTTTGCGTATCGTATATTTAAATGTTTAAAAAAAATTATATATTTATTAATTTTTATATTAAATTTGCATTTAATTTCTCATAATAGAAATAAAATACTTTTTTGATAGATTTACTAATTTTCAAATTAAATAACACATTAAAAGTCTCATAATACAAAATAAAATACCATAAACAATAAAGATAATTCATTGCACTAAGGACCATGTTAACAAAAGAATATAACATTATATACCATAAGTACCCTCAAGTAATCAATCTCTTACAATGTTACTAAAAATACCCTCAAGTAATCAATGTCTTACAAAGTTAAGAGACTTAGATACTCAGTTGGTATGTAATATGGCACTAAGAAGCCCAAAAATTGTTTGTGTTTTTCCTGTTCCTGGTGGATCCTACATGGACAAAAGGTAAAGAAGCGTCGCATCAAACCAATCAAGAAACAAAATATAGACCTTTTAGTTTATGTTTCTTGTGTACTTAACAAAAACAAGACTTAATCAAGAAAAAAAAAAATATAGACCTGTCCCTAACCTTCTGTGCTGTGGAAAAAGCTAATCCAACCAAACCTCTTATCCTACCAACCTCTTTCTCAACTGCAGCCTTCAACTTAGCATCAACCTGAAACCAAACTCATTTTATACATTAACCAATTATAAAACACTTCATATTAATATCTGAAAATTTTAACTAATGACAAAAATAAGAGGTTATTGGAATCGGAATAGGTGATTCCATCTTTGTACTACTTTTGGAATTCACTTCATTTTGCTTTAAGATTCCTGATGTCTGAAACAAATCATAACCACACAATGCAAAAATATAAAAGTCAAAAGTCAAAAAAAGACGAACTTCACATAAAAAAATACCCATAGACTATCATTGCAAAAAAGACGAGCTTCACATAAAAAAATACCCATAGACTACCTTGATTTAAGAGGAAATAGAAATAAGTGGTTAATAATGTGTGGCCCAACAGAAGCTTCACGGTTTCTATCAGCAAAAAAGTACAGAAAACATGAGAATTTAATCATTTATATATTGAAATTTGTTAAATATGAGGAATGATATAACTTACAGGAAAACGATCCCAAACAAGGTGACCATCATTTGGTTTGAGGTGATAATAAGAGCATCCAAAAGCAACAGCAGCCACACCAATGTAAAAGCATGTCCAACCACAAAGCTCACCTTGTAGACTTTGGCATTTTATACCAGGCAGAATCAGGGGCAATATAAACCTGAGAAGTGGATGCTACTTTGTTTAATTGTAGTTATCACTATTATATAGGTCATCCATAAAAGTTAAAAGGTACACCATTTGAAAGAGAAAACAAGAAAAAGATAAAAAGTGTTATCTGTTAAGGATGAAAAGTGGAAAGAGTAGCTCTTTAAAAAGATTGACAAAATCAGAAAATATATTTCCGTTGACTTGTTAACACAAACCCCTCGCTTTATCAATCTTTTATAAGTATATCATAAATCCAAAAAGTTATCTACGTTGAAACCCAACAAACCAAGTTTCAACAAACATAGAAATGGATATGGAACACCCATGTTAAAATATATACAAGATGAAGGGCATAATTGTCAATCTACCATCGACATATCCCAGGTGCTTCTGTCCTCAACATTGATATCGCCTCTTCATACTCTGAAGCATATACAAACCCCCACAGCTGCACACATTGACATTCATATCAACTCAACTTATGCAAACTATTTATATTAAATTACACTTTTGGTCCCTGAGAATCTCTAATTTTCCTGATTTTGGTCCCAAAAAGTTTTCTCTTGCAACTTTAGTCCTTATTTGACTATTTTTGGTCCCGAACCGTTTTTTCAATTTTGGTCCCCAAAAATTCTCTTACAATTTTGGTCCTTTGAAATTTCTTGTAGAGTTTCAGTCCTTGTTCTAAGTAAGATGACCATTTTTGGTCCCTGAGTATTGCTGATCTTTTCAATTTTAGTCCCAACTCATTTTACTTGGAACGAAGAGTAAAAACATTACAAAAACCTCAAATAAGGATCAAATTTGCAAGAGAATTTTGTAGGACCCAAATTGAACAAAATCAGCCATACTCGAGGACCAAAAATGTAATTTTTGCAAAAATAAGTGAGAGAAAGCACCTCAATTTCCTTCACTTCAAATTCTTGGGTGTGTGACAAACAAGAGTTACCATAAGTTTCTGAGGCCAAACTTGACCCATTCAATCTGGGGAAAAAAATATGCAAATTGCCAAATTACCATATTATCCCTCAAAAAGAAAAATAGGAATGATGCAAGTGCAACACTCTTACAAGTCACTATCGAGATACAATGCAAAATGATTTCCCCCACCAAGCGCTAAATACTCAGTTGAACAAAGAGTAAAATACCGATTCACCCCTAATAAATGCACAATTAACATAATAAATCCCAAATAAATATTAAAATTATAAAAGATTTTTTTATATATTATCAAGAAAATGCAGTACCTGTGGGGCGATATATAACAGGACGCCCTGGTGTATTTGTAAACACAAATGTATCATTCGATACCTGTATAGTATTTACTCATCACAGTGAAAAAGGGTAGAAAAGTCTTTTGTCAACATATAGAGAAACGAACTTAATTAAACAATTACAAACCTGGTATCTTTTCTTTGTTGATGGTTTCAAAGGTGCCTCAACTAAACCACCAAACACTGCACCTTTACGATCTCCAACAACCTAAAAATGTTTAATCAAGTTTCAGTTAAAGGGTAAAGTTGACATTTTGCATAGTTACTGAAGACAAGATATTACCAGTAGACTTAACCCAGGGTAAAGATTGCTTCTTCTATATAAGGTTGAAAGAGATATGCCATGCCTCCATGTACTAACATATAAAAAAGATAATGATATATCAAGATTCAAGAATAATGTGAAACTGAAAATATGAAGAAGATGAAGTTTTACCTGTATAGTAAGACCCATTTCTTTCCTTGACTGAGAACAGGGAGTGCAACATAAAGATCAGAACGTGTATTTCTGTCATAAGTTGTGAAGGTTCTGACATTTTTGGAAGTTTATTAGAAGGAAAAGATGCAATCACATTTTGTACAGGAACCCCATCATTAGTTTCAAATTGAGAGCTTGTTTCTTTCATGTCATCAATCTTTGATTCAGTGTTTACTTTCCCAGATGCATGAGATCGATACCCACTAAACCTAGCAGCTTGTGAAAGAGCCTTGCTGAGTGACTGTTTGCCCTTAGAGAATAGACCTTTCTTTCCATTGTTGTCTTTTGAAACGTTTGGGGATGATGTGTCATTTCTGTAGCTAGTTACCACTTGGTTTTCGTTCCATTCTGAATATTCAGACTCATTTTCTGATCTTCCTGGTGATAAGAATGAGTAGAGAAATGCGGTGAAGGAGGAAGTATATGGCCTATCAACCAAGATCAATCTCTCTGTAGCCCTACGCAAAACCCTCCATGGTATCAAGCTCAATCTCTGTAGCCCTACGATCTGCCATGTCCAAATCTCTCTCGTCCTCCAAAGAATCGTCCAACCCAACCGACCTTCATAGCCATTTCTATTGATTTCCAACTCGATATCATAAATTATGTTTCGACATGAGAGTGTGGGGAGGTTTCAAGAAGAACAGAGCAGAAGCAACAACGCAAACGATAACATTAGGTATCGAGGGCTAATCGAGTTTGATTAAAAAGGTTATAAAACTCGTAATAAAGGAAGACAAACCTCTGGAACAAATAAAGAATTAGAATGTTGATGGTGATTGACCATGGAGTTTCGAGACCTTGACTTTAATGGAGCTACTGTTCTACTTGATATGGAAATCACTCTAAATTTGTAGTTGTGATACAGCTCTTCTATTAATTGAGAGGCTGAGAAAGTACTTGAGGAACTGAAGATCGAGGGAAGTAGATGAAGGGTTTTTGAACTGAAACCCGAGTTCCAACAATAGTCATGGTTCCAAAAACTGTACCCCTTTGATCAATTTCATGGCCTGGTGACCAAAAAACCTTCGATTTCACTAAGAACCGGAACCCTAGTTCCAACAATAGTCAATTTTTGGTATTTGATTGATTGAGAGAGAGAGAGAGAGAGAGAAGAAAGATTGAAAGAAGGTAGAGGAGAGCATGGCGGGGGTTTTAATTTTTTCAGAATTTCATTTCCCCCTTTCCCCCACTATTAAAGGATGGAACGCGCGTTCCATTAAAAAATATAAAGTTACATCCTTAGACGACGCGCATTTTATTATAGGTGCCCTCCGTGTTTTTTTTAGACACTAATTTAAGGGAGCGGAATAATGCGTGTCTTCTATCCTTAAATTTTTTGAAGAGATGACATTTTTCTAATGTCACTCTCCTTTGCGTAACATAGATCAATGAGCGTCGTATTTTGCGCGTCGTAAAAGGCCTTTTTTCTAGTAGTGATGGGTTAAACCCAACTACAAATGGGTTCCAAAGGCTCACTCTCCCAAATCTTCTAACGACTCTAATATTTTTTCATCTTCTGTTTGTGATAAGCAGGACATGTCATGGGAGAGAGTACCATGCAAGGATGAAAAAGGTCAACCCAGTTTCAAAATGGACTGGGTTCCAAAGACCAACTGATCCCGCTCTGTGCTGGAGCAGCTATGGAGGCATATCATCAGACTTCGGTTTGTTGATAGTGGTTGCTCCATGCACATGATAGGAGGCATCTCTCAACTGTACAACACTCAGAACATTGTTTGAGAGTATGTGTCCTTGCGGGAAGGGAAGAAAGGAAGTGATCACTCACAGGGATTGTGCTTAATGACATGAAGAATTTTCAGATCTGTTCTGAGATTACGCGTGCTGTTCTCAGACCTTCTGGATGCAAATTCAATCGGTGACTTACGGTTTGGTTTTTCTTCTCTATACTCCTGAGTTTTTCTTAAGCTGATTCGCTTTAAAGACAAATTTTTGTTTTAGGATAGTTTAAATTTGCGCATTTACTTTCATTTCTCTCCTATGCACAAATTTAGGGGGAGAAATAAAAAAAATAAAAATAAAAAAAATATTAGAAAATTAAAAAAAAATGTTGGTTATGGAATGTGCTTGAGGGAGATGTTTTGGGAAGTGAGTGATAATGGTCAATCTGAGTCTGCGTAACGTACCCAAAGTTGAAGGGTCTATGCTCGATGTATCGGTAGGCACGAAAGATTCTAAACGGACATGAGTAGGCAGAATTGAACTTAGGAAATCAAATGACTTGAAAAATCTTGACCTAGATAGTTCCGTTTAGCCTGACAATACGACGCTTGGATAGGTTGAGCAGGGAGATATATACGGGAATCTACTCGTCACATTAATTGAACCCGTACTTGGAACCGTGTTTTAACTTTTCCTCGATGTGCGGATTCTATCCTTAATTCCGGTTGGATGGGGCGACTGGTAAATTCCGATAAATTAGGTCTGTAGAATATCATTTTCTTTCTTTCCCTCTGTTAGTCATATGTTGTCTCCTTTGCACGATCTCTAATCCGACCTGGTACACAACATATGCAAGTCTATTTCTCTGCAAGCTATATATATATATATATATATATATATATATATATATATATATATATATATATATATAAATGTGTGAAATGTGTGAAAAACTTCTTATCCGTTAGCCATATGCTGTCTCCTTTGCGCGACTTCTAATCCGACCTCGTACACAGCATATGCAACCTTCTTATTCTCAACCCCTCTAAAGAAATCTGTATCTCTTCTCTCTCTGAATGGTTGTCTACTCACCCGGTGTAAGGAGTACTCTGGAAGTTCTTGATGGCTGGGGTATATCTGGAAGCGGGAAACATGTTCCAGTACAATTAAAATTGAACACTCAAAGATTGTCTATAGATCTCACTGCTCAATTTAGGTGGACAACAATATCCCTGGTCGTCGTCAGCTGAATGGTCCTTAAGATATAGTATCTAGAAACTTAGGATCAAATATAATATTTAGGAACTTAGCATCACATTGTCTTGTCACTTATAGTATGTCCTAATTTTGTCACAATTTTTCGTGTTTAAGTGGACAACAATATCGGCGATCGACTAGACAAAGATGTGAAGATAGAAGGTACCGACAAGCGGATAAAGGTTGTCTAAAAACTTTGATCCCAAATCATTCTTAAAGTTAGATATCATTTTACTTTTGTTAAATTTGTTCATAGTTTTTCTCTATGCACAAATTTTAAGGGGAGAATCACAAATAATTCAAAAAACAAACAAAAATCAGAAAATTAAAATCCAAAAATAGTGTTATTTCTTGTTCAGAAAAATCAGAAAATCCAAAAATAATTTTTTTTGTGTGCTAATTTTTCTTTTAGTTTTGTTTTGTCTTGAAAAGTGATTTCAGGTATAGAAAAGACTCATGGAGTTTGTGTTGAAGATTTCTGAGTCAAGGCTTCATCTGTGAGCATCGAAGAATTCGCATTTGGAGGAGCAAGAAATGAAGATTATTCTTTCGACATTCCATCCTTCAACCCCAGAAGCAAGGTGAAGCTGAAATTGAAGAATATGTGACAGATTGCATTGAATCCTCCTCAATTAGTCTGCTGCTATCTATGAACCTGCTGAAGTGATCCAGAAGATTCGTTCTCTCTGTTCTCTCTGAAGATTCTCATGCTGAAAGCGCTATCTTTCAAGAATCAGTACATCAAGCCTCCTCACCCAATGTGCGTTCAATGTCAAATTCTGCAGAAAGCCCAACCGCTCGAGATGAATTCATTTATTGAAGATTCATAAAGTTCATCTTGAAGCTGTGAAGAATTTGAAGATTAGTGCTGAAGCCAAGCTCCCAACGAAGATTAACAAGAAAAACTAGCTACTTTTTAGGGGGAGTTTATTGGGCCAGTTAGAAAAGAAAGCTATAAACCAAGGGGGATATTGTTGGGTTAAAAATATGGTTTATACTTTGCTTTTCTAGGAAAATATATTTTTATGTAATTTTGTATGTGTTTGCGGTTTGTGTGTACGGCCGTACACGTGTGTACGGCCGCACAACCTGTGTACGGCCGTACACAAGGTGTGCGGCTGTACACATGTGTATGGCTGGAGGTCCATATAAATAGAGTGTGCATGTGGGAGTGTACGGTTAGAGATGGTAGGAGAGGAGAAGAGAGCATCTTGTAGAGAGAGAAACTAGAGAGAAGAAGTGTGTGTGAGAGAGAATCTATTGTAAGGAGCATCATTCATATTGAATACATCATTGATTCATCATCTTCTTCTTCTCCTTCTCTTCTATTTGATCTGACATCATCCAATTGATTGGGATTCCGCACCATCAATTAGATCTTATTGATACACAAGCAATTTTGGGGACTTACAAAGTGCTTAACCTTACTCAGTCCCTTCGTAAGCGGATCTGCTGGGTTATCTTCTGATGATATCCTCTTAACCACGAGTTGTCCTTCTTCTACCCGATGTCTAATAAACTGATATTTTCTATCGATATGATGAGATCTACCATGATCCCTCGGTTCCTTGGTCAAGGCAACCACTCCTTCATTATCACAGAAAATTTCCATGGGCTCCTTTATGGTAGGTACAACTCCAAGATCACCAATGAAGTTCTTCAACCATATTGCCTCCTTCGACACTTCGCTTGCTGCAATGTACTCTGATTCTCACGTTGAATCAGCTATAGTTTCCTGCTTGGAACTTTTCCAAGTAACTGCTCCTCCATTCAGGGAGAAGACCCAGCCTGACTGCGAACGGTAGTTATCCCTGTCGGTCTGAAAACTAGCATCACTATACCCTCGCACCTTCAAGTCATCACTCCCTCTGAGAACTAAAAACCATTCCTTCATCCTCCGAAGGTACTTAAGGATATTCTTGACCGCAATCCAGTGGGCTCTGCCAGGGTTCCCTTGATATCTACTAACCATGCTCAAAGCAAAGGCTACATCAGGGCGAGTACAAGTCATAGCATACATGATTGAGCCAACTGCGGAAGCGTATGGGACTCGGCTCATTTATGCTATCTCGGCTTCGGTACTCGGACTTTGAGTCTTACTCAACTTGGCATTACTTTGTATTGGTAATTCTCCCTTCTTCGAATTTTCCATACTAAAACGTTTTAGTACTTTATCTAAGTAAGTGTTCTGACTAAGTCCTATTAGTCTCTTACTTTGTTCTCTCACTATCCTTATTCCCAGAATATAGGAAGCCTCTCTGAGATCTTTCATAGCGAAGCACTTCCCGAGCCAGGACTTAACTTCCTGCAGTGTCGGGACATTGTTTCCTAAGAGTAGTATGTCATCAACATACAGAACGAGGAAGCTTACTATACTCCCACTGGCTTTGGCATATACACATGATTCATCTTCGCTTCGTACAAATCTAAACTCTTTGACTTTCTCATCGAAGCAGAGATTCCATCTGCGAGACGCTTGCTTAAGTCCATAAATGGACTTCTTAAGCTTACACACTCTATTCGGATGCTTCGGATCAACAAAACCCTCTGGCTGAGCCATGTAAACATCCTCAGCCAACTTCCCATTAAGGAAAGCGGTCTTGACATCCATTTGCCAAATCTCATAATCATGAAATGCGGCAATTGCTAGCATCACTCTAATAGACTTTATTTTCGCAACTGGTGAGAAGGTCTCATCATAGTCAACTCCGGGAGTTTGAGTAAAGCCCTTCGCAACCAATCGCGCCTTATACGTGTGTACATTTCCATCCACATTGGTCTTCTTCTTGAAGATCCATTTGCACCCAACGGTCTTACGTCTGGGCACATTATCAACCAAATTCCAAA